GTTCCATCATGATGAGGACAGGGCGGTGTTAAGTTCTTCAGTCAGTCCAAATGACAAAGTGAAAGTGCTTAAAAACTAGACCTGGTGCAAACACTTGGATCAATTCTGTTTTGTGTGATAGACACCTGCCCACTAGGGAACCAGACTGAGAAATAAAACGTAATCTCACGGTATCAGTCCATGGGTGGCAAGCATCTAAATTGCTCCCAGGTTTGAGATAAAGGGCTCCATCCCCCTTAACCCATCCCCTGAGCCAACCAGATACTCCAGCACATTTATTGCTCTGGCATAAGATTCCAGACTTGGCCATTTGAGTTTAATCTCATTTTTGAGAGTCCCAGGTACAGAGGGTATTGATTTCTGAGGCCTCTAATAAAACAAATGTCCAGCTGATCTAGTTTTCCATTTTAATCCATTTTCCAGTTCAGAGACAAAGGTTAGACCCTATCTGTGGTTTTCATGGTTGCTGAGAAGAACTTTTAATTTTCCTTTCCTCTCCAGCTAAGCTTCTGTGACAGCTGGTTTGGATGATGCTCTGATTTTAGAACATCTAAAAAATCCTGGTCCTTCTCCTAATGAAAATCTCCAGAAGTTTTACAGTAATAGCTGCTATGTAGCCACTAACTGAGAAGTTGAAGATCAGAATCAGATTAATAATATAGGAAAATGGGAGCATAAGAGAAAGCAATCCCTTGCTACCTAAGACAGCCTAATCCTCGTCATAAAATTATCAGACTTCACCTTAAAACAAGTCAGGTTTCTATGTGCAGAACCGATTTCATTCCCAGTTTGTAAATTCAGCTACTGGATTTGCCTACTAAGATTTCTTCCTCATATGAAAAGTCAAATAGACTGCAGCATAGACCACTTCAACCCATGCCCAAGGTTTCTAGTGCAAATCTCTTTGACCCTTATTTAAATACCTGCTTCTGCTGGGCAAACAGTTTTTGCTGGTGGTTGCTAATACACTTCTTCCTGTGTAAATATGCAATGCACAGAAGGGGCTTATAAAATGTTAACTCTAAACAGCTCTGCAACCTGCGGTCAGGCCTGGTTATTGTAATATATACAGAAGGCAGGTGTCAGCTAAGAGCAACCTAATTCAGCTCTACCAGCTCACTCAGAGAGAAACTTTAGTTTATCTGGTTGAACAAGGGCCCAAAAAATGCCCATCTGCATCTCAGCTGAGGAACTCTGATCTAGTCTTCTCTTCACCAATATGCCTGAGAAGCCTTCATGGTTCATTTAGTGCCTTTCCAGTGTGCTGTGTTTCCTTGTGTCTGACGTAAACATCTCTGCTTAGCTTCTGGTTGTTATACTTGATCAGTAGGCAAAGAGAGGACCTGAATGCCCAAGAGACCTTTCATCAACCCTAAATGCATTACAAAAGAATCACATATAGGCTCAAAATCAAGCCTGGGATCCAAACCCCTCTGACCTTCAATGAAGCCTGGAATCATAGTCGATGCCTGGCTCAGGCCCATGGCTTTGCTCTGCACAATAGACAAAACTCAAATCCATGCTTAACCCATCCTATGACAGGTGTCTTCTACTGATTCATAGGTGGCTGACATCTCCATGTTTCCCTGTGCAAATATTGTTAACCATGTAGCACCTTTTCTCTGTAGTAGATTACAAGCTACTTGGGGAAGGTACTGCAAACAAGCATGAGGCTATGTGAATAATAATAAAAATAACAATTTTCTGTGGGAGTAATATATCAGTACAAATGTATATACACATGCATGTTACCCATACGCCTATCTGCCCACCTTTTTGTCAATTTAGCCTCCAATTTTGTACTGACAGCCATTTTCACAGTCAACTAAATGGCACCTAAATAGCTAAAAAATTGACTTACAAGAAAAGTTGGGTATTAAGAGTTCCACACACAATTACTGATGGAGAAATGGATGGATCCCTATATATAGATACAGAAATAGGTGTATATGTTTTGGCTTGATTTTAAATTGGTGGTATGTGTTCATAAAGAAAAGGGTTCATTTGGGGGGTACATTTTTGCACTGAGAAACAATTTAGCTATCTCTGGATGTGGATGTGGTGCTTTTGCATCAAAATTGTGTGCCTGCTTCATCAGGTTGCCTTTAAGATTCAAGGGCTTCCCGTATAATACGTTAGGAAATACCAGGCCCGATAAAATGGTGATGGAAATAAGATGTAATCAATCCGGGCTTAGCTGGGGAGGTAAGGAGAACTGCAGTTGCAACCTTTAGGAGGCAATCCCCATTACTGAGGATGAAGGGTCATAGCCACGGGCCCTGTGAAAGGAGCTGAAGATGGACACCAAAGCATGGAGAATCCTGTTGGGTTTTTTTCTTCCAGCTTTTAATGCAACAGACAGAACAAAACCAAAATGCATTGGAACAGCTCCATTTTCCAGTGACACTCCGACACGGATCAAATCAAAAGAGTTTGAGAGAGGGGGAAAAGAAAGAACAGACAGCAAAGGAATGAGACTGGCCATTTCACAGGTAGAGAGTTAGCTGCGAGAACATCTAAATGAAACATTCCATTAAATGCGCCACGCTGGATATTATTTACAGTGAAACACACAATGCGCACGCGTTTAGACAGTGCTGGAGTAACATACAGCAAAGAAGCAAGTTAAATTTGTTCAGATTTGTTTCCTTTCCTTCCCACTTTCTTGATTTGTTTCCTTCCAAAAGCGGCCGTTACTGACGGGAGGGTGAGTGAGATTTGATGGCAACAGAGGTTATCTTGCATAAATATAAATCGTTCTGAAACGCCCCAGGTAATCTTTGGCCACCACCTACAAAGGCAATAAGGGACTTGTGTGGGAAGGTCAATGGAGTTTGTCTCTCTCTAGCACCAAATTCCATTAATAGATGCCTCCGGTGGCACCAGAGAGGACATTCAGACCTAGATATGTCTTTCTCTCTTCTGGGAGCTGAAACCGATCCCCTGACCCGATTCTCCCAAACTTGAAAGAAGTTTGGATTTGGATCCAAATTTTGCTCCAACGATCTATGTCTAAATAATAATATTGTGATGAGTTCACGTAGTGCTGCTTGGAAATGTCAAAGCATTTTACAGAATCATGGATGATGGTACAACATTTCGGGGGACCCTCGCAGCCAATATTTTGGTTTAGCCTGGGGTCTAGTTAAATGGACAGAGCAGTAGTGCGGGTATTGGGCTAAGCAGGGTAGAGTATGGACAGCAGATGGACATAACAGGAATACTGTGGCTGGGTTGACTGATCTCTGTAATATAAACATGCTGAACTTTGTTTCTCCAGCCTTTGTTATATCCCCAGTTCTGTATCATCCGTTCCTAGGCCATCAGATATTAAATTCAGTATATGTTTAGGCTTCCATGTTAGATCTTGAACCCCTAGTGTGAAGTTCAGAGATAAGAGCTGTCTGAAGATGTAAGAAGCACCTGTATTAGAGATATAAAAGGCCTAATTTCAATATGTCAGTGATCTCCTGGCCTCTGTAAGATTGATACCCAGTCGCTTGCTTAGTGTTCTAGCTCGCCTAACTTCCCGACTCTGCCTCTGCCACCTGGACTCTGCGAGAAATGTATCCCATGAAAGGCTTCTACATCTGAGTGACCATCTGCCTGTTTCTAATTCCTGAGCATGTTTCCTCCTCCTCCAAACATTAATTCATGGGGTTTTCAACATGACTAACACAGCTAAAGTCATTTTACCAGGTCAACTGGAAACACAAATAAGTCAGCATGTTGCTTCTGAATGTCAAAATGCTATACTTCTTTTTCACTGAAAATTGCTAAGAAAATAAATAGGAAGGAGCTGTGGCATCATAGAGTTGTGCAGCAGTCTAGCAAATGAAATGAATATCTTCCTCGATTACAATGGGATAAACAGAGTGAGTACCCTAGAGAGCACTGTCATCACAAAGATGACCAGGATCATCTTTTCAGTAATGAAGTAGAAACATACCTCTAACAGTGGGAAAGGCTTGGATATTTTTAAAGAGAAACACATTTTGGGAAACAGCAGCAGTGAAGGGGTTAAGGCAGAACCTATCTGCTACTTCCAAATTCAAAAGGACATAAAAGTACAAGTCTCCCCTTTCCAGATGCAGTATGTGCATGTTTGAAGAAAATGAAACCTATAGGTCCTGAGCTGAAGATGAGATGTAGGAAGCCCAGAATTATAACAGTAGTTTTCAGCAGAAAAAAAGGGGGTGGGGGGGCTATAGCTAATTGTAACCTGGCAGGGCCATGATTATATATCCTGCTTGCAATGATCCCAAATCAATGGCATTCACTGGGGGCTTAGTGCCATTAGCAAGAAGTCATGGAAACATTTGCTCCCCATGATCTACACACACTCTGCACAAAATGATGCAGAGAGTGAATCCCAGACTTCTCACGGGATAGCACAAGATGCATTACAGAATGATTCCCTCTGTGAAGCTGAAAGCAGATATGGAGGTTAAACTTGAACTTCCCGTGTGAGGGTGCCGGGCAAGCCCTGTTCCTTTTTTAAAAATAAGGGAGTCAAGGGAAAGGTCCAGTCAGTTCTTGGAGGTCATGGTGGAAGTGGTCAAAGCAGTAAAACACGGTGGCTCTGTTGGTGAAAAGGAAAAGGAAGGAGCAAGTGACCCATAAACTCTAGAACCCAAACAGTGGGGGAGCTCCTGGGGGCTGGTCCCCCCATTCAAGCATATTATTTCTAGCTTTTATTCAGGAAGATACATTATGTTGTGGTGATTGAGCAATAACTGTGTGTTTAACTGCTGCACTTCCCCTTCTAGCAGGTAAGGGGAAATCTCTGATAGTCTCATCAACTATCAGCTTGGACTTCAGTGTGAACTGGTGCTTTATGAAAGCCCAAAGAAGAATCTTCATTTTACCTCGCATGGTGATAAAGCTGTCCAAGCTTCCTCTGTAAAAGTACAACTCATCTTTTCATGTCACAAAATGCCTTAGTGATTCAAATTCCCTCTGTAACACAACGGTTCCCAGTAGGACCCAGTCAGTCCCGGTGCCTGCTAAAGGGCCCAGTTAGCATGATCTATACTGCCGTGAGCAGGGATGCTTTATTTATTTTTCTGCATTTCATTCTTGCTTTCCCAAAATATATGCAAATATGCCACCAAAGATAAATTACTGTGTAACTAGTAGTGTGGCAACTTCTAAGTCACAGTATGAAGGGCATGTGTATTTTCAGAATGATCATTACAGGATATCAAACTTAACTTTCCCACTTAACAGAGAATAAATGTACTGTACAATGAAAGTTGCTGAGTGCATTCTCTGGATAACAGATTAAATGGCTATAAGTAACTATACTTATAAGACCCAAATATACAGGAAACTTAGACATCATTTTCCTTAACTAATATGGCTAAAATGCTGGTAAGTTCTTGCAGTTACCATATTCTAAACATTAAACAAAAAAAAATGTTCCCTATTTACACTGTGTTGTATATACACATTTGGTTTGTGGAATCCCCAACATCATGCCAAAATTCTCTTCAGAAAGAAAGCTAAATAGGAAATATCATAGAAATATATCCCCAGATCAACACAATTCAAGGTTTGTTGGCCGGATATAAATAATGACGTGTGTCCCAGCTGGGACTGCTCTAGACATCTAGGATCATCAGCACTGATTTTAGGTTTTATTTTCAGATGCAAGTGATACAGAGCTTAGAAATCAAAACAGCAGATGTTTGAAATTTAAAAATGGCCTAAGCTAAGAAGGTAGTTTGTGAATTCAGGTTCTCAGCTGGAGACAATATCACGGCACTAGCCTTTTTGGAAAGCTCTGAGCACTTGCCATGTGAAAATCAGGCCCCTTTAAGGTGCCACAAGTTGGGATCCAAAAATCAAGAGATCCAAAATCCCTAGCCCCAGTGCTGGATGTGACAGACCTGCAGTCAGTTTGCAAACTGCCGTCCTGATGTGATGCCTTTCATGAGTGAGCACATTGGTGCTAATTGCCAGGAGCAGCTTAGACATGCAGGTCTTGCAGCTCATCAAAGGCATAGGGGGTGTTGAGTCTGTTCTCCCCCTGGGATGCACACGCGTGTATGCACACACGCGCAAAGTCGCTGCTAATGGCTTGAGTCAGTTACACTCATCCATAAGGAAGCGGGGCTGGACAATTCCTCATCTCTCTCCAGTATGGACAAGATCTACAGCAATGAGCAAAGCTCTATGTGTTTTGCCTTGGCTGCAAAGGGCCAGCAATGGTTGGGAAGAGGTCCTAATCTAGGGGTTAAACTGTCTTCCTTCACCCCACCTCCTATATCTGAGGTATCAGCAGAAAAGTATAAGTGGACATTTTGATTTTTTTTTAGACATGGCTCTTTTTGTTGTGGTTCTTTGTCTTCTTTATTCCCCCTGTGGCCCAGTTGATCACATCAGGACCTGGTCTCGAGTCTCTGGTAACCGCAGGGCTAACAGGCCCCCTCCCATCAGAGCAGAGGAGGCCAGAAGAATGGGAACCACTTTGGTTATCCCGACGAAGGAAGCAAAGATTGAGTTCCCCAGGATGGCACCAAACTTGCAGAGACCATTGAGGATGCCAAACGCTGTTGCTCTGCAGGGAAGGGAAAAGCAGAAAGTGATGGTTAGGAGTTGGGCAGCACTTCACCACTAAAAAGAGGCTAGATTGATTCTGGAAGGATTGAATATTGCTATCTCCTAATCTAAGGATGGGTTGATTTACTGGTACTCCTCATATACCATGGTTAAAGGTGTAATTTTTAAACTTATGTGCTTGAGCAATGGAAGCTAAAGATAAGCAGAAGGCAAGCTGCTTAACTTCAGACTAACACAGCTAACTACGTATCTCAGCCAAAGATAATACAGTTTAATGAAAACTCCAACTTCAAATTACATGCTATTTACACATACAGAGGCAAGAAAGAATTTCCCATGGCCACAAATGCCAGCTGGAGCAGTTAAACTATCAGCTAGTGCAGACATATTGGTTATATAGGCCAATAGTCATTTGAAATGAAGTCTATGCTTCTAGCAAGTAAGTGGAGCTGGAAAGAATGAACAGCCCTAAGAGTTTTGGGTGATGGGGTGGGATCAGGTGATACTGGTGACTTTTATTTATGTCTGCACCCCCATCTCTGGGACTCAGCATCACGGCAACCTTTGCTGAGCACAAATAGAGCTCAGCACTCAGCTTGCTGAGAGCATGTCAACACTGCCTCAAGTGCTGGCTTTCGTGGGTGGTTGCTGGAGAGAGACACGCAGAGTGCTCCCACACACCCTGATTCACCCAGCAGCTGAACACATTGCCTTCACAGCACAGTCCTTCACAGCTCTTATCGGTAGACTGAAAAGGGCAGAAGAGATCTCTAACTATACTGACAGGCAAACTCTTCCACTCAATCCTGAAACCTTAATGCACATGATGCTTTGCCTCCCAAACACAGACCTGTCTGTGGCTGTCTACCAGTACCAGAGGATAAAGCTGTGAGTGATACACTGCGACAGCAGACTGGGGGGTGCATTTCAAAGGCTTCTCTACCATGTCTGTAAGTGTATGCATGCAAATGATAGATGCTCCACATGCAAGTTTTGGTGTATGTATTTTGCACACATCTGCACAAATTCACATGCACAAGCTCTACTGCATGTGGCATCGTCCTCAGCTCTGTCTGTGCTCATCAGATTCAGTCATGGGACTCGTGAATTTTGCTAAAAAATAAAAAGATAACTCTTCCAGTTAATACTGGTTTTTTTTCTCCTTAGGACGTAGGAAAGGCAGTTTCTAGAGTCCAAAAATTAAAATCCAAGAGGAGGCTATCCTGAACATAGTCACCTTTTGTCAGTGGGATACAGCTCAACTGTGATGACGTCCAGCGCATTCCAGGCTGCAATACTCGCCCCACAGAATAGGCACTGCCAGCCGATCATTGCAGAATCACTATCGCCAAAAAACAGGAAGAAGCAGCACACGGCAGATATCAGCATTGAGCCACCTGTAAGGGAAGTCAGAGAAATGTGATGGCATCAGTCTCTTGGAATCTCTGATCAGGAAAACTCATCATGACTAAGAAAAACCTTCAAACCAGTGGAGCTCAATCGTTTTGCCCTGCAGGCTGGATCAAGCCCCATGCTGCTAGATTGGGTCCTATGCCCTATCTGCTCAGCCCTGTGTGTCTGGATTGGGTCACACACTGGCTCCACATCCCTGATCTAGCTCTCAGGACCACACAATCCTGACTGCGGGGATCCCCATGGCTCCAGAAATTTGGCAGCAATTAATGCTGCCACTATTTCCCTGCCACCCATTTTTCAGGCCAGTGGGGATCCCTGTGAGCCAGATGACATGGCTTTGTGGGATGGATCTAGCTCATGGGTGGGGGGTTAATCACCCCTGCTTTGAAGAATGGAGTTCCTTCCCAAAGATGAGGGAATCCCACAAGCGTCTTCCAAACGAAGCCAGGAAGAGCACAGCCAAGTCAACAAGAATATCAGTAACTGGGAATCATGACTTTCAAGGATTTTGAATCTGAATACTGGTTGGTAATGTGGAAATTGGGGTTAGTATTGTATTCCAATTGCATGGCGCATCTCTAGCCTCAGCTGGGCTAATTTACAGCTGATTATATGAGGCAATTAAGGTATCCTGTAATGAGTGGGATACTCTTAGACTGCACGGCACACTTACACGGCTACTGTTGTTTTGCGAGGAAGATTGAGGGAGAGAGTGAAAACATTCAGGCTCTGTTACTTGGAGTTCAGAGCCACCGATACGAGCAGTTGCACTTTCATTAACGTTCACTAGAGCCAAACACGCTGAGCTGGAGTTTTTCTATTCAAGAATCTCTGAGGATGTGAAAACATTTTGTTTGAACCGAAAATGCCAGACAAAGTGTTTCACCACTTCTTAATCACAACAGCTGTACGGCGAAAGGGTAACCCGCCCGCAGCCGTACAGCAGGCCACTTGCACAGAAACAGGATGCCAGCGTCCTGCCTCCTCATCCAGCGCCCTGCCTGCAGAATCCTTTACCTTTCTGCTTTGCCCGACATTAGTGCACCTCCTTCCTATCCTAGACAGACCCAGTTTCTCTTCTAGATGCAGATGCACAGAGAGCTTTGCAACCCGTTATTTCGTCCATGGTCGTCCACACCCCCATCCGTTGATGTGCCTTGTGCCCAACATCTCCACTCACCAATCATCCTTATCCTTCCTATCTTGTCCATGAGCAGCGCTGAGACAATGTTGCCCGGCAACACAGACAGACTGCCCAGAAAGCTGACAAGATAAATCAGGAAATCGTTGTCCTCCTCGAAGTCCAGGTGACAACCCTCCTTCTCCTGCAGCTCGCTGCAGTTCAGGAACTTGCAGTCAATGAATTTGTGTTTGTAGAGATCTTAGAGGGAAAAGAGGCAAAAATGAGATCCTGTTGAGCCAGCCTCCCCCAGTCTGATAGCAACAAAACTGGCATCAAGGGTATATTGTAAAGCCTTGGTTTAGATTGAGGGACATCAGTGTGGAGGGAGACTCATGTTACGTATGATATACTGTAGGGCTCTGTGAAGCTTCGGATGGTGATTCGATTCAGAGGAGATTCGACCCGATTTTGTGGCTGAATCTCGAAATCCGAATCGAATGCGGGGACCAATTTAAAGGTCCGAATCAATACAAAGCTCTCCAAATCTTCGGAAAAGATTCAGGGAGCTTTGATGATCCGGGCTGCAGCCACTCCAAACTGGTAAGTACTAGGGGCGGGGGAGCGGGGGGGGGGGGGGG